CACATCGGGCGAGTCATGATCTTGTTGAGCTACCTGCCGAGTGAAAAACCATAGGCTAACCTCACACTATGACTTAAACAATCACCAGGGTTGCATTTAAAGGCAGATTTCCAACTATCCATCCATCCATCTTCTAACCGCTTCATCCTCTTGAGGGTCGCGGGGGGGCTGGAGGTTCCCAGCTGACATTGGGCGAGAGGCAGGGTACACCCTGGACAGGTTGCCAGACTATCACAGGGCTGACACATAGAGACAGACAACCATTCACGGTCACATTCACACCTACGGACAATTTAGAGTTATCAATTAACCTAATCCCCAATCTGCATGGCTTTGGACTGTGGGAGGAAGCCGGAGTGCCCGGAGAGAACCCATGCTGACACGGGGAAAACATGCAAACTCCGCACAGAAGGGCTCCCACACCCAGGATCGAACCATGAACCCTCTTGCTGTGAGGCGACAATGCTAACCACCACACCACCGTGCTGCCCGATTTCCAGCTAGTGTTAGCACTGTGGGCTGAATTTTTGATATTTCAAAAAATCTGTTTGTGTTGTTGTGGAGGACAGTCTGAAGACACTTATTCACAAGTTGGTGTCAATTGTGGGAGGAGATAGGTTTAAAGTCAATCAGAAGAGACAGAGGAATGAAGTAAAGTTAATGTTTAATTCAGAATATGAGTGCACAGATTACCAGATGATTTGTACTGATTAAGATTTAACAGAACTCTTTGGCGCTTGGACACCAGAGGGAGATATTTTGTGACTGAGGGACATCTGAGCGGCAAACGTCTGGAGTCCAGACACTGGTGGCTGCTGACTCTGAGGCTGATGAGACTACGTGGTGATGGGGAGGGTACAGCAAGAAAGAACTACGGCAGAGAAGGAACCATATTCAAAATGAGGAGGAGTAAGATGACAGGCTGACAGAGGTGTGTCGCTGTGCTATTGGTTGATTTTCAGTCAGCTGATGACTCAATTGACAGACCCAGACAATGACACCTAGAGATAGTGAGTGAGCATGCGTGCAAGGAGTGAATGGCAGGGTGAGAAAGTAAACTTACAGCCTGAGCATGAAAAGTATTGTCTCCCTGTCTGAACTTTCACTAGAGTTTCATTAGTTTTACAATTTTGAGAAAACAGTTTTGCACTTTTGACTGTTGCAGTAGTGCCATCATCAGGACTATTAGCCCACATGCTAGTTAAGGAAGTTTGGCATAGGATATGTGGGTGAAGATTCTCACTCATTCAGGCCATGGTAATCTTTCATGGTAATCTTCAGTTCGAACTGACTCAAACTCAAACGGACTGGTGTGGAGTCAATGTTCTTTTCAATTCCCATACCAGTCGAAACACATTCTTCCAAAATTGATAAGCAACATGTCGGTGAAGATTCTCAGACATCCAGATCATGGTAATCTAAAGTATTATAGCGTAGGCAACTGGACCTATTTCGTTCGTTAAATATTAGTGTGCAGTAATGTGTTCCTCAGGCATGATAATAAATACAGTTTTGAAATGACAGCATGTATCAATCAGAAAGTGTGAATACAAGTTAAGTTTGTCAGGGACATGATGTTTCCCCTCTGACAACTTCAGTAAGGATTGGAAGGATCTTACAGATGTATTGTAGTTGCACAAATAATAAAAAGGTCAGTGCGAGCCACAGAAAATTGTTTCCAAAACTGTTGGGATTCAGTGTCTTGCTCACAAACTATTTGGTAGAATGTATATTTACAGCCACATGGGAGTTTAAAGGTCCAGTGTGTAAGATTTAGGGTGATTTAGTGCCATCTAGTGGTGAGGATTGCAGATTGCAACCAGTTGAAACATCTTCAGGTTAGAATTCTGTCAACGTTCATTGTTCAGGAGGTTTTTACCAGGAGCTAACTGCTTATAGCGGAGTAGTGCTATCTAGGGTGGCTGATGCAAACACATGAATGGCCTTATTTGGTGCCAGTGTTTGGTTTGTCTGCTCTGGGCTACCGTAGAAACATGGCAGTGCAACATGGCGATCTTTGTAGACGAGGACATGCTTTGAATGTAGATACCCTATAAACAGTTCATTCTCAGATAACAAAAACACAGTGATTCTTACTTTCAGGTGATAATGCACCAAAAATGATTTTCCATTTCTGTCAGTATATCCCCCTAAATCCCACACACTGGACCTTTAAAATGTATGTCTGTAGTTTCTAGTGACCAAACACCATCTCACACTGTTTTAAAGAAACATGTTTTTCAACCTGGGAAAACTGTAGTGAAATGATTCACACCGTTTTAAGATTGAATGTGCCCGTGGTGATGTGCTGATCTCTGCTGGACGGGGACAGATTTCGGGGAAAACTATTTTCCTCCAAAAATTTAAATTAGACCCAAAATTGAATTACATATAATCTCTATGTTGTTTAATTGTATCCTGCAGTTTGAATACAGTCATACATAGCGCTGTAATGGTTTGTTTATTGTGCCAAACTGTCACTGTACGCATGTTATTTTGTCCTCAAATCACAAAGGCATGACACACCCTACTCTCCCTCTGATTAACTGAAACTCATTGCCTTTGTTGGTTGGGTTGATATAGGCTATTTGGGCAAGAGGTTTGGGATTGTTTAGGGTTAAGGTAAGAATGTCAGCGTAAACCAATCAGAGGCAGAGTAAGGCAGAGTAGGGCTGGTCATGCCTTCACCATACTAGTAAAAAAAGAAACTTGCTCACGGTTTGGAGACATAGATTTAAATAATACCTACATACTTGATGCCAAGATGGTGCCTGGCACATATGCTAAAAAAAAGTTTCTAGCTTTCAGGTTTACTTCTGTAGTATGCGCAAGGAAATTATCAAAGACCGAACGGTCATGACGACAGTGAGAGCGGTCGAGGAGCCAGACTTTGGTGTCAGTTCTATCGGAGTCAATGGGGCACTACAAATCATCATTTTGCAATGATGTATACAATTGTATCTCAAAATGGCCGTGAATGCAGGGCTATGGCTAGTTGCTGGTTTACTATCTACACATTGTGATGAGGCTGCTCTTCACCAAAAAACCTGCACTGATGACAGGAAGTTTGTTCTATCAGTAGAACAGTAGTCGTTTGCACCCATGTATCTGTACTTTGAAATGAGTCTACAGGAGCTGACCAGTATAACCACAGCTTTCAACCACTAACCACTGAGCTACTCCACTGGAGTTAACAGGCACTGAGGGATGTTAGTAGTGGTGGCTGAGGGAAAAGAGTGTTGCATTTATCTCCCCTGCACTGGTTATCCAGGCTGTCCAAGGATGTCAGTGACTTTGCAGGAAACAGTGAACGTCTCTGACTGTGAGACGACAGTACTGTACTGTCCATCTGAAGGGTGGCAGATTCATTTTAATGTCAGTGTCATATTTCAAACAACTTTGATCCGTGGGACTTTTAACAGTTTTTTAGACAAGAGGCAGCAAGTTGTTGTAAAATGAAGTTAAGTCTTTGACGTCTTTATAACTGACCAGCAAAAAAATACGAACAGAAATATTCTTTAAAAATGCCTTAAGTTAACCTTAAGTAATTATGATTAGTACTAAGTGTCACCTGCTCTGAATCAGTAGACTGGCATCTTGACTCTATTCACTTTCAGAATTTATGATTCATAAGTATCTATTGGGTGCAATTATTACATTTTGTGTGGACTTCATCGTGCACATAACTGTACATATTTCTCATGTTTACTTTTATTCTGTTGTTTATTCTATTGGTGTATATATTGTAATTCAATTTAACACTAAAAGGGAATTTATACCTCTGCATTGAATCAACGCCGTAGCTACGGCGTAGCCTGACGTGCACCTCCCCAGAAATGTAACTATGCGTCACGGTGGCACAGACCTCCTGTCTGTTCCTGTAAGCTGAAACCATTTCTCTCAGTGGAAAGGAAGCCTTTATTTACTTGTATTTCACAGATAAGAAACAATAAATTGTGAAGACAGTAAAGCCTCCACAAAAATATCATTTCAATTCTTGTGTGTGATTTATCCTGGCTTCACATGAGCAGAGGAAATCTCCACTCATCGCTAGGCTAATTTATACAATGTAAAATGCCATAGGCTGGCGCTAATAAAGTTAGCATGTTGTATTTGTGGGGAAAATGTGTTTAGTATAAGACAGTTGTTCTGTCAGTGAACCTTGTGAGTTGTAACGGAGCCAAATTATGCAATGTTACCTTTGTTAAATGTTGCTGTTGTCCCTGGCTTCATATGAGAAGAGAGATAGATCTCTAGCTGCTAGGCTAGTCTCAACACAGCGATGATATATATTTTATTTAATATTTTATATCTTAAGGACTAGTGTTAAATACTGTAGCAAAACAACATTTTATTTTGTATTATTTATTTTAATGCACATTTTCATTCTGTTATATTTTATTTAATTGCTTTATATTTACATACTTCTATTTCATACTTATATTCTTACTTCCTATAATTCTTACATTCTTTACATCGGAGTGACTGTAATGAATCACAGTTTCCCCTCGGGGGTCAGTCAAGTATTTCTGATTTTGATTCTGAACAATACCTTTTTGCAAACTCAATATTTAGTAAATCTTCTTGCTTTCCATAACAGTACGCCTTTCTTGCCTTGATATTACAGCATGCAGAAGGATTTAATACCGACCTCATATAGCAACTTAATTGATTATTGGGGTTCTATTTATTGTCAGTTTTGCTTGTGATAAAACATGTCAGGATTACAAGTTAGGCCCAGACATGTATTTCATGTTGTAGTACTGAGGTGAAACAAGTCAATTTATTAACGATACCCAGTGTTGCAATTAAAGGTGTTTTTTTTTTGTGTGTTCACTTTCCCTGGTCTGCATCAGATTTTTGTCTCTTCTTTTCAGTTGCACAGTACTAAAATACGCACCGTTTTAATTTTGTGCAGTCAAGTTGTATTCATTATGCATTAAACAAAGCATCATGTATCAGCAGCCCTCCCTCACTGTGTTTGTCCCTCTTGTTCTCAGGGGAAGTTGGTGAAGTACTTCAGCCGCCAGCTGTCCTGTAAGTGCAAAGTGGCCTTAGAGGAGCGCAGTGTCGAGCTGGAGGACTTCCCTCGCCTCGGCCACTGGTTCCGCATCGTCAACTTGAGGAAGGAGGTCACACAGGTAATATGTCTGAATAAAAAAGATGTTCATCTTTATCTCCCATATTTACAATGTGAGAATGTGAGATAGTATTACTCAGATTACAGATCTGGCATCAGTACAGTGATGTACAGAGGGGTGACAGAGTGGTGTCTGACAGAATCTCTCCTACACATCTGATGACTGGACATGTCATATTAACATCATTTTCATAATCAAACCATCCAGTGACTGCTTGTGTCTTTTATGGACACATCTGTCAGAAGACACATCTTCTGACAGAACAGCTGGTTGAATTTCAGCCTGCATGCACATTTGCCTGCCATCTGCCTGCTGTTGTTTGAGGGTGACATAAACTTTCAAATAAAAGCATATCCTAAAGATGACGATATGGATGTTTTCACTTAGCATCGTTGATTACTGAATCAATATATTGGTCCAGATCGATGGATGGTTACACTCTTCTTATAGTTAGTTTGTGACCCACCCACCATGTTGGATACAGTTGACTGAAGTCACACTAAAATATGTTTCTAAAAACATCTGAGGTGAGAAATAGGCAATGCAGTAACAGAATCTTGATTCATATTTGATCAGCGCTGCCTGGTTTGACAGTTTGACCACAGTTCATGAGCAGTTATTGACATGATTGACAGCTGCATAAAAGACTTCTCGGCTCTGATTGGTTTATTTTATTCAGCCGCAGTGGGTTCTTGGAGTTGCCATTAGAAGCACTATGAGGAGGAGGAAGATGAGGAGGAGGAGCATGATTTTTTCTCACAGATTATCTGTCATGTACTACTTTGTGGATGTAGTGACAGTTTCAGGAAATATGACAGAGTTATTTTTATAAAACTCACCAACTACAGCCTTAGAGCTTTAAAAGGACTTGATTTCCAGGCATGTCGTGCTTGATTGGCCGGTGTCTCAGCACATTACGGTCACCCATGTGTATGAATTTAACGTATAGGTTTCTGTCTCATAGAGGTAAACCCAAATCCATGCTTTAAAATGACACAGACGAGCCAGCTTTTTCACAGCCCATGACCTCTTTCCACTCTGAACTGACCATAAAACACAATTAAAATGTTCTACACAATTTCTTTTCATTGACATTTGAGGCTCCCAATGTGTTGAGTCAGTCAGTGCATCCTAAACCAAGTGTTCCATAAACTGATATGAGATCTTAACGATGTGTATCTGTGTCATCTGTTTGCCTATGTGTGTGTTCTGCAGGAGATGAGCCCGGGTGAGGTGACCCTGGAGGGCCTGCTGGAGATGAGCGAGGAGCAGGTGTGTGAGCTGCTGCAGAAGTTTGGTGCCAACGAAGAGGAGTGCGCTCGACTCAACGCCTCCCTCTCCTGCCTCAGAAAGGCCCACCAGCTCGGTAAGTGCACACCCAAAACATGCAGAGACGAGCTGACATAAGCACACACACATCCAAAGAAGCACCAGCCTGTAAATATCCTTAAAGGGATAGCGTCCTGTAGAGTTATCACCATTTACTCTACTGTCTGTAAAATTCCTAACTAATTTGCTTTGAAGTTTTTCAAATAAAGGTCTGCTTAACTTTAAATTATCTGCTGTGCAAGATAACAAAGACACTCTTTACGAGGAGACTTTTTTTCCACGTTGCTTTCCTGGTATTGGTGTCAGGTGACAGACAATAAGTGGAACGTAATCACACATTTGACAGAAACAAAAAAAAGTTAATGTTTATTGTTGGTAATAATCTTACTATAGAGTGTATTTTTTGTACGGTACAAAAATGAATTAATGCAGTTTTGTAATATGTAAAAAGGACAAACTAGATGATGGTACAAATCTGGGGGTTTCTCCCTAAAAACTAAATTATATATACAGAACTTGACTTTAATTTTGACACTTTTCAGACACCTGCTATAGTTCCACATTTGTGTGGTTTATATCTTTGCCATCAATTTATTTTTACAAGAATGTAAAATCTCATGTCTTGCTAGAGGCAGACAGTAAACCAAAGGGATCAGTAAGTCGCCCTTACTAATCATCTTTTTTTTTATAAAGATATATGATTTTTTTTTTCCAGAAAGAGACCTTTGTGAAAAATTCTCTGTGGTGCATTCAAGGACACTCTGACATTTGAGACTCGACAGCCAGCTGCTTATTTTTGTTAAAAGTATTTTGAGGCATTTAAGTTTAGGGTAGAGAGCTGACAAGAAGTAAGGAGACAAAAAGAGGATGACGTGCACCAAAAGTCTTCAGCCGGACTCTATAAACATGAGAATGCACTTGAATTGTCAGTGTCTTGAAGTATGCTATAATAGCAATTTATTTAATCAACTCACTTGTGCCCAGAGACTGTATTTAGTATGATATGGATATTTGCAACATTTGTACTGATTGGTCTTGGAATACAGACTCACTTTGTGTAGGTGACTAACAATAGAACTTTTACATTTTTTGATGACATTAAAAGTCACATTTTAATCAATAGTCAAAATCAGGATTACTGAAATATGACTGAAAATGCCAACATAATTTTTGTAAATGGTGGCATGGTGGTGCAGTGGTTAGCATTGTTGCCTCACAGTAAGATTCCTGGTTCTAATCCAGGGTGGGGGAGCCCTCCTGTGCAGAGTTTGCATGTTCTCCCCGTGTCAGCGTGGGTTTTCTCCAGATGCTCCAGCTTCCTCCCACAGTCCAAAGACATGCAGGTTAACTGGTGACTCTAAATTGTCCGTAGGTGTGAATGTGAGTGTGAATGGTTGTCTGTCTCTCATACGGAAAATGAATGAATGTTTATAAATGTCTTAAATATGAAAAGTTTGTTTACACTGCATATGTGTGTGTATTTTTAATATTCAGCATGTTACTAGTTCATAAATGGCAAATACGTTTGTGCTCCTTCTTGTAGAAAAATCAGTAGCACCATGTGCCCAAAGATCAAATATAGTAAGAAAAGAAAACCCCACTTTTTAGCCAAACTATCGACTGATTTTGAAAATGTATTCAGATTTGTGATGTGGCATGCAAAAAACAAACACACAAAAAATTAAAGAAAATAATAAAATTTCAGTTGTGGGCACTAACGGGGTACATTTTTTAAACTAAATTCTTCTACTTGTTTTCACAACAGTTGTGTTTACTTACAGCTTCTCCCTTGGTCTGATTTCTCAACAGCATAGTTTATTAATTCTTTACTTTTGGCAGTCAACTTGCATCAATTAGCTGTTAGAGCGTCCTTAAATGCACCATCACTCTAAAATAATGTTTCTTGAGTGAGTCTAACCGTGATGTATTACTCATGTCAAATATCTGCAATTTGATTTGTATACAAACTGAAATAAAAGCAGGAACTCAATCTTAAAATCTACACCATGGTTTCATGATGTGAAGTATTTACAATGTGTAGGTCCTGAGATAAAACAAACAATGATGGTGTTGTGACGCACAATCAAAAAGCAGGAGAAGGATGCTTATTTACATCCGACTGTATTAAGTAACAGCCAACAATTACCTCATTATCCTGCTCTGTGAGATGTGTGTACGTAGCATGTGTGAGAGCTGTTATGCACTTTTGTAATGAATTCAGAGAAGGAGAGTTGTTTTTGAGATACAGATGACGTGATGACATAGAACAGGAGCGGAGAACAGCTGCCTGTTCTTATGTGTGTATCTATAGTCAGGGACGTTTGATTTCAAAGGGCTTTATTTTTCAGTTAGCCTTACCTAAGGTGGAACAAAACACATCCATGTTTTTTCATGATCTTTACATGTCCCCTGTATGAAACGGATAGTCGAACCAACAATATTTAATTCACTCATTTTCCATAGCCGCTTATCCTGTTAGGGGTTGCAGGGTGGCTGCAGCCTATCCCAGCTGACACTGGGTGAGAGGCAGGGTACACCCTGGACAGGTCACCAGACTATCACAGGGCTGACACATAGAGACAGACAACCATTCACACTCGCATTCACACCTTTAGAGTCACCAATTAACCTGCATGTCTTTGGACTGTGGGAGGAAGCCGGAGTACCCAGAGAAAACCCACGCTGACACAGGGAGAACATGCAAACTCTCCCCCACCCTGGGGTTCGAACCAGGAAACCTCTTGCTGTGAGGCAACAATGCTAAACACAGCATCACCATGCCACCTCCAAAATATTTTATACACCAAAACACAGCAAAAAGTAATGAAATGGATAAATACATATACAGTATTCTTGGTGGAGGTTCGTGCTTCCCGAGTGCCCTTCTAGTTCCCTATATCATTTGCTACAGCTTATAAGAAACAAACACCATTCCCACTTCCATACCGTCAGAATAACACACATTAGTGTGTGCAGTTCCTTCTGTTTTGTCCAATACTGCCATCTGAAAACTACAGACATTTATAGTAAAGATGAATCCTAACAGTGACAGGGATGACAAATCAGTTAAAACAACAAATAAAAACTTATTATAAAGAATGTAAAATATGTAAAGTCAATATAAAATCAATGCAAATCAAATTTTGATAATGTTTTATGCATGATAGGTGAGATAGGAGCATTTAAGGGGGAGAAGGGGGTCGTCAGGGGTTGGCCGAGGTCAGCGAGACATTACCGCTACCCGCTTGGTCTATCTCTGGTGCAGCTTGGCGTGGCATGGCGCGTCTAAACTGACAATGGAAATGCAAATGGCCACGGCCAAAATCAACACTGGAAAAAGCCCTTAAGTGACACCTTAAGATAAGATCCTTTATTCGTCACACAGCAGGGAAATTTGCAACATTACAGCAGTAAAGAGATAGTGCCAACAGAAAGCATTAGTAGAAAAAAATAAAATACGAGGCCGTGTATGAATATGTAAAGTAAGTACAAAAACACAGCAGTATAAAAACACAAAATAATAATAAGGAAGCATAAAAAAGAAGCAGAATATAATAAGGAGACAGACTGAATTACTGATTTTACATTATTGGCCGATGGAAGTATGGATATTGCGCAGTTTAACAGAGTGATTGATTGTAAGCAGTAAAGCAGTAAGCAGTAAAGCATAAAACGAAAAGCATAAAACGAAATACAATAATTAATAGACAGACTGAGTGGCAGAATTTTGGGGCGGCAGTAGCTCAGTCCATAGGGACTTGGGTTGGGAACCGGAGGGTCACCTGTTCAAGTCCCTGTCTGGACCAAATATGGAGCGTGGACTGGTGGCTGGAGAGGTGCCAGTTCACCTCCTGGGCACTGCTGAGGTGCCTTTGAGCAAGGCACCGAACCCCCCAACTCCTCACTCTGACATCGCTCCACTTAGTGCATGTATAGGTCCTGTTTGTGCATGTGTGTGTGTGTAATTGACAGCGAGTAAAAAAAAATTGAATTTCCCCTTGGGGATTAATAAATTCAGATTAATGTGTTTGTTATAATAATGTAGATATAGTATATCTAGAAAAAAGCTTTGTTAATAATATAATCCATACATCCACATACTGAACTAAGACTTGCGTTACATTCAAGGTTGCTGTTTATTATTTCACTGTACAAAAAAATCATGTTTTATTAATGACCCTTGACATTATACGCCCTCACCAAAACCATGGTGTATATTTGCTATGTTTCTCTTTATTTAGATTTAGATTTAGATATACTTTATTAATCCCTGAGGGGAAATTCAATTTTTCAACTCTGTTGTCATACACACATAGGCCCACACACATGCACAACATTTAACGGAGAGATGCCAGAGTGGGAGGGATGCCTTGGACAGGTGCCCTGGGCAGTTAGGGGTTGGGTGCCTTGCTTAAGAGCGACCGGGCAGTGCCCAGGAGGCAAATTGGCACCTCCTCAACTGCCAGTCCAGGTTCTGTGCTTGGTATGTGTGGGGAATTGAGCCGGCGACCCTCCCTATGGACTGAGCTACTGCCGTCCCCCCTCTTAATTCATGGAGTATCAAACAAGTCCATAATTTACAGCAGCCATCATCTGTAGTTTGATGCATGTTATGTGTTTATGATGCTGGCAAAAGGGATGTATCAAAAAAAAACATCACCATATTTAACTCTAACTCAGCTTCATTAATTAAAATCCATCAGATCCTTTAGTTGTTTAATTGCCATGACATATGTATACAGTATACTGTAATGCTCCTCAGTCTTAGCTGTGGTGTTACTTCACTGCCAGCCCTCAGACATAACTTACTAAATACATAGTGTGTTTCTGTAGGTGGCACTGTTTCCTCCACATGTTCAGCCACAGTGGGTCTGTTCTTCTTTTACTCTTAACAAACTGTAAATGAAGCTGAATCACTACTTGTGTGCCAGCAGATAAGACACCGCCTGTTTAGAGCGACAGCTGTCATGATGTCGATACATCACTACCAGGTTATAATGAATCACTGCTGCAGCAGTCATTGATGGCAGTTTAGCA